GACTACTTTCTCAGGCCACAAGCATGGATCTGGATGGGAAGCGGGTCTGCCGGGATTAGAACCAGTGCTCATATGGGATCCCAGCACATTCAAAGAGAGGACTTTAGCTGCTAGGCTACTGCATTGGGCCCTCCTGTGTCTCATAATTAATACATTTTTTACCATAATAGTACAGTGGGTGATTTAAGGTCAAAGTGAGTCTTGGACATAGCATTGCTTAAAGGCTATTAAATTTTTGTGTTTATTTTATATCCTGCAAGTTTACCAAACATCTTGATTTCCAACAGGCTTTAATGGAGTCTTGTTTTATTCATATATGCATATGTGTTTTATGACATATTATGTTGTCTGCAAAGAGTTATAATTTGTCTTCCCCCTTTCCAGTTTGTATTCCTTTGATTTGTTTCTCTAGCCCACTGGCTCTGGCTATGTTGAATAGCAGTGGTAAAATCCTTGTCTCATGTTGGATCCTGCTCATTTCCCTATTGATGATGGATCTGTGATAGGTTACCTTGGTTGTTTCAAGACTGTTCTTTATATTCCCAGTTTGCCTAAGGTTTTTTATTGTGAAAGGAAACTAGACCGTCTTTTATCTCTGCATCTATTGAGATAATCATATGAGTTTTATTATTTAATTTGTTACTGTGATAAATCACATTTATTGATTTTTATATTTTTTAAATTCATATTTTGAATTTTGAATTTTAAGGTACTATTCCATTGAATGTGGAATTCCCACCACCCAAATTCCCCAACTGACTGTCCCCATTCTGTTAAATAGTATAGTCCATCATAAAGAGTCATGATTGCATCAGTCTGTTATTTAAGTGTGCTCCAACATTGCTGCTGCAGACAATGGCAGACAGTCCAGCCACCCATTGTCTAGATAAGGCCAACAGTTTCATTGGGAGTCCATCTTTGATTTGGAGGTAGGGATGCATATTGCAATGTGTCCTCACATCTGGATATAGTAGTCTCTATTACTCCATCACTATGCCTTCCTTTAAATGAGAAGCCACAAAATAAGGTCAACAACTTGTGTGAAGTTAAATACAAAAAGAAGAAAAAAAAATACAATGCCATGAAGTCGGAAAGAAGTGCCACTGAATAAGCAGCGCATGGATGACGAGAACACAAAAGCCTGCTGGGCAAAACGATGCCACTGTGTGATGCATTCGACAAGAGAAAATAAGGTGTTTGGAAGAAATAAAAATGAAATAAAAATATTAAAATGCATGCGATGCAGCAAAAACAGTATGCAAAGGGATATTGAACTTAGAATTTGCATGAGGGCTGCCTTATATCAGAGAAAACCACTATGATATTTGTCCTTTTGAGATTGACTTGTTTCACTGAGCATAATAGTCTGTAGTTGGGACCATCTAGTTGCAAATGGTATAATTTCATTATACCATCTACATCCATGGAGTAGATGTACCACAGATTCTTTAGCCACTGCTCTTTGGGTGGGCATCTGGATTGTTTCTGTGTCTTTGCTATTATAGATTGTGCTGCTGTAAATATGGGATTATAGATCCCCTTCTTATATGCAGTTTTCATTTCCTTTGGGTATATTTCTAGGAGTGGGATAGCCGGGTCATATGGCAGATTTATTTGTAATTCTCCAAGCACTCTCCATACTGATTCCCATAGTGGTTGTACTAGCCTGCACTCCCACCAGCGGTGAAGGAGGGAACCTTTCCCTCATCCATGCCAGCAGGTGTTGTTAGTAACTTCTGAATGTAGGCCAGTTTCACTGGAGTGAGGAGGAACCTCAACATAGATCCAACCTATGACCTAGCCATCCTGCTTCTGGGATTTTACCAAAATGAAATGAAAACAGCATACAAGAGAATTATCTGTACCTTATTGTAACTTAGTTTATGATAGTTAAGGTATGGAATCAACTGACATGTCCATGAACTGATGGCTGGATAAAGAAAATGTGTTATATACACACTTTGGAATAATCATCAGTTATAAGAAGGAATGAAATTCTGTCTTTTGTGACAAAACGGATGCAAATGGAAATTATTACGTTTAGTGAAATAATTCAATTCTCAGAAGGCAAGTATTATATAGTATTCCTGCATTATGGTAACTGACATACAGAATACAAAGAAATATGATCTCTATGAGTGAAGTTGACGTTATGAGATTTGATTATTGTCTCTCCTCTTCAGGAGCAGTAGTTTCTAGCTACTGTTTGTTTAATTCTTTACCTAATAGCGGGTTAAGCTTCTGAGGATAAAATAATCTTGAAGTATGTCATTCTAAAAAGCACATAAAGGAAAGGAGGAGCGATGGTGGAGGCATGGACAGAACAGGTCAGTGTGGAGCATCATTAGACTTCTAAATCTGGATATGTGAAATATGTGAAATCTTTCACCTTATGTAAATAAAATAGTCATAAAAATTAAGAAGTGGCTTATGCGTGTTGAAAAAGCACAGTCTCTTGTCATGTACTCACACACTCAGTGCCAGCTCCCTAGTGTAATCATTCTCAATGCCTCTTGTTTCTGTGGTTACGTATGCTCAAACAACGTGTTCATATCACGTTGGCCTCCTTATTCCTGACTCACTTTCATCATGCTTCTCTGTTTATTGTTATTCGCACTTTCGGCATCATCTGGTAACTTGCTGACGCACAAGGTGCACATTCTGTCCTCTCACGTTGTCTTGAAGGTTCTCAGTTCCCTTCTGCCCACCTCCTCCTACGTTTGCATTGCAGAACCGGCTATCTTAATGAGCTATGGGATATGAACCCGTGCACAGTGACTGGTCTTGATATAGTGGTCATAGTCACTATTTTTTTTAATCTTATATTAAATGGATACATTAGAGTTTGCTTACCCACTTGAAAAGGTGGGCATTTGGGTTTCTTCTCCCTCTTTATCTACTGATTTCTATCATGTAATTCTGTGTCCTGCAATTTAGTGTAATATAGTGATCACCTGGTGGCACTGAAATGATTCGATCTAGACAGTCTTGTCGGTGTCATCTTTTCCCCACAATTGCTCAATTATCTTTGAATTTGTGCCTTGTTTGGTTTTGCCTTGAAGCTGTTGACTAATCTCCCTGTTGACTGATATGCTCCAGTTACCCATTTATCTTTGTCTTCTTCCTTCTTCTCTGTGGCTTGCTCTCATCATCTCTCCCTTTTCTCCACAAATGAAACATCGACATTGCTTTTCTTTTTAAAGATTTATCTTATTTTTTATTTGAAATTGTTGCAAAGATGAGAAACAGAGAAAGCTCTTTTATATGCGAGGCCATTCCCAGTGGCCACCATGGCCAGAGATGGACCAATCTGCCAAGGACAGGAGCTCCTTCTGGGTCTCCCATGTGGGTGCAGGGGCCTAAGGATTTGAGCAGTTCTTTGTTGCCATCCCTGGCCATAAGCAGGGAGGTGGATCAGAAGTGGAGCAGCTGCAGGGACACCAACGGGTGCTTATATGGGATTACTGGTGCCATAGGCAGAGGCTTAGCCTGCATGTCATGGCGTTGGCCCTACTTCTTGACTTCTCTTTCCCCTTCTTTTGCTGAAGATATTGTTCAAGTAGATGAGTGAGTAAAAAATATTTCCAATGTTCTAATAGGAGAAAACTGGTCGTATGCAATCAAACAAAAAAGAGAAAAATTCAGATATGGCAACTGATAACACAAATAATTAAAATGGACCAATACTGCTATTGCAGTTTCTGTCTGTCTTTATAGAAGGGACGAAGGAAATGCATCATCCAGTAGGCTTCTGCATTGCAAAGCTACTGTGTTTTACTTTTTAATTAAGAAGTAATTTGTGGGAAGATATTTTGACAAGTGTGTATCTTGTTTCTCATCATAATTTCATGGTCCAGTTTTAGCATTCATTAAAAGCTTTCTAATCCCATCATTCTTTCTATATTTATTAGGTAAAATTGCACTCTGAAGAAGGACTTTTCTGTTTCTCCAATTAATGTTTATAATATGGACTAATGGATTTCTGTTCTAGTCTGTGGATTATCTCACCACCATAATGCTCCGAGTTTGGCCAGAGAAGCCTTTCAACATGTATTTCAACACGTGCTTATCATTCTCTGCGTGCTGCCTTGCCTGTGGCATATGAAGTATTCCAGACCTGCTTGTTTGTTTGTTTTTTTCATATCATTTTCCTTCTTTCTTATTGCTTGTGGTCTCAGCATAATTAGATCATTTACAAAATTGTCATGTTGTCATGTTCTGTGAAAAAGATGGTAAGTCTGTATTGGAGTGTTAATGACAGGCTGCTAGTGGACAGGGAGTTTGTGGAAAGAGTTTAGGAGTTAAAACAGGCAGGACTGGGCTGATGACGTAAAGGAGGAAAGGGAATACTTTAAGATTAACTTTCAAGTTCATGTGAACATTAGTCACCTAGTTTTTGATATTATTCTTGTAAGCATGCATGACTCCTGCTCTTCTCCTTTATTAACAATTTCAGTTCTCTTACTGGTGGTCCTGGAGCCATTCTATCTTTATTACATGACTTTGAAAGTACTGATTTTTATCACAAACTTTTCCTTTGGGGGAAGCCTGCCACGGGTCAGCCTCATGGTAAAATGTATTCCTATAACCTGGGAAAGACTCCAGATGGGATCCAAAGCCTCTCCTGTAAGATTTTGTTTTGATGTCACACCGATGCTAATAGCAGCTTCTGCTTGGGTTTCTTCATGTCAGAAAGTGACCAAATGCAGACATTGACCAGCCTCGGCCTTGTCGCTGTGAGCAGGGCAGGTGGTACCCCTGGACTGCTGACACTAGGGGACTGATGTGAAAGTCTGCTTTTAAGATATTGAAGGGAAGGAGAGATCCAAATAGAAAAATGAGGTTACCCTAAATTTTTCATTGAGCTTTGTGCAGAGCACTTCTTGGTGAACACTGCGGTTGATCAGCAGGTGCAACATTGTCATTGCTGAACTTCTGTCATGTGCTGTCGTGCACATGCATTTTGTGACTCTTCTTTTTCTTTTTTTCATTCTCAACAGGCTGTGAAGTGCTAAAAAAACTTGACTTGACCGTGAATTTCATTGGGGAGCTGAGCAGCATCCAAACCCTGAAACAGAACATCCACCTGGAGGAGCTCTTTCTCATGGGAAATCCATGCGCTAACTTCGATGGCTACCGGGCGTTTGTGGTGGCAACTCTTCACCAACTAAAGGTATGCTTGTTTTAATGATACCAGGAACACCGGAAAACCAGCGTGAACTACTATAATCATTCATGATCAGTTCAAAGAATTTTCAGGGAACATTACAGAGAAAACTAATCTGAGACTCCCTAAACCTTTAACATTGTTTTAATAGTTTTAATAAATCTTTGAAAAATCAATTTCAGACTTTTCTCCTTTCTCATTCAAAACAAAGAGGTCTTAACTATTTCCCAGGGAGCTCACCTTATTGTTAAGGAGTGTATCCATCATTACTAATGAGAATTCATTTTGAGTAGTTGTAAACCAAACACAGAGGGTTTCCATGGTAGCTATTCCTTTGTGCATAATCTTAACCTGATGTGTATTTGCGTCTTTTCTAATTTCTTCTGAACCCATTCTCTGTGGCAGTGCTCCTTGAATTTAGATGTGTATCAAAATACTGAGAAGGCTTTTTGAAACGCATATTCCTTTGTCCCACCCTCAGAGTTTGGGGTTCAGGTCTGACAGGGGATCTGACATCCCAATTTCTAACAGACCCTCAAGTGCAGTTCCCATGCTGCTGATCTAGGGACCTCATTGGAGAAACAGCACTGATGTTTTAATCTCTTAGGCTGCATATGCTGAGTCTTATGCTTTGAGAACAGGGGCAAATGTGGTTTCTGGAGAAATCCTGTTGGAGAGGTTTTTTTTTTTTAAATTTTAAGATTTATTTATTTATTGGAAAGAGAGGAAGATCTATGAGTTGATTCACTCCCCAAGTGGCCGGTATGGCTGGAGCTGAGCTGATCCGAAACCAGGAACCAGGAGCTTTTCCAGGTCTTCCATGAGGGTGCAGGGTTCCAAAGCTTTGGGCCATCTTCGACTGGTTTTCCAGGCCACAAGCAGTAGTTGGATGGGAAGTGGGGCAGTCCTGGATTAGAACTAGCACCCATGCGGGATTCTGGTGCTTTCTAGGCTGTCACGCTGGGCCTGAGTATGTTTTAAAAAGTTTGGATTTGTTTACAGTTTCCAGTGCTCCTAAAATTCTTTCGGTGCAGGGAAAGTGATGGGTATTGTGTCAGTTCTCAGAGGACAGTCGTTTCTCAACCTCGGGTTCTCTGTAGTTGAGAGATGACTGGCTACAGGAGTCACAGAACACATTTCTTATAATCCAGACTGTCTCCCATCAAGAGAAAGAGTGGCACAGGTGACTGAATCTTGAATCATTGATAAACTATCTCAAACACAGTAACCAATCATCACTGGGCCATGACATTCTTGAGAATGAGCTGATGAGCACTGGCGCACCATAGAAATAGAGCCCATACTGGAATGGATGTCTTCACAGGTGTCTCAGGAGTGGAAGGCTGTGTGGTCCGCATGGCTGAGCCTGTCAGTGCTGCAGTGCTGGGCATGGAGGCATGCAGGCATCACACAGGTGCCAAAACAAGGCACCAGGTTGTCCCAGGTGCTTTAAGCACAGCATCTCTGATCCAGCCAGACCCATGAATGGGGACACGTTCATTCACAACTTAGGAACAAAGGCTCAGAGAACTGTCAGTCCTGGTTTAAGCTGGCACGCCTGAATCTGACAGAGCCCATGCATCTCTACACCAGGAATACACTCAGAGAATAATGTTGGGATTAAAACCCACTTATGCCAGACACCAGGACCTCCATCTCTCACACTTGTGGCTACATTCGCTGCTTCCCTTTGGACAATTGTACAAGCTTTGGATCAAGTCTTTTAGAAAGACTTCTCTGCATCAGATGTTACTATTGTCAATAGCCTCTTTTTGAAGAATGATATTCACTAATGAATTTACTAGTGTTTAAAAATAGATTGAGATACTTTATCATCTCACTTGCCATTTCATCTGAAAGATTGTGACAGGTTAAAAAGGAATTGCTCAATAGATGCAGCATTTTCCTTGTGCTGCTGTAACAAAGGACCACAGCTGGGTGACCTAAAGGACAGAAATTCGTTATCTCATGGTTCTAGAAGCCAGATGTTTGAGTGAAGTTATTGATAGCATTGATTCTTTCTGTGCCTCTCTGCCTACTCCTGGGGGATTGCTGCCAATCTTGCCCATCTTTGACCTCTGCCAAAACATCTCCTGTTTCTGCTTCATCCTCACATGATGCTCTCCTGCATCCCTGACTCATCAGGCATCACACTTCACCACAGTACCATATTGACTCCAACTCCAGCGTGACCTTGTTTGATAAATTACCTCTGCAATGACCCTTTTTTCCAAGAAGGTTGCATTTTGAAGCTCTTAGGGGGTGGGTGGGGCGGACAGCTAGGATTTCAACATACCTAGTGGGATGACTCAATTCAGCCTGTGGTAACAGGGTAGTTTTATTTTAGATGATCACATGGAAGAGTGTTCTCTTCTGTGACTGAGCCACTCCATGTAGGAAAAAAGCCCTTTAACGTAGTGGGAAAAAGAGAGGTGAGGAGGGTATGACTCATGTTTCTATCCTCTGTGAGCGGGTTGCCTGATTTTACTTACTTATAATAGGACAGTAATTCTTACTTCGGAGGAATCCTGTGAGGTCTTCAGTACATCTTAGTCTCCTCTCTCTCTGCTTTGCTGCAGTCCAGACACAATTGCTATCAGTAAGTGTGGACAGTCTGACCCAGGTTGACAAGAATCCTGAGTAAAGAAAGACCAAGGATTACCAAAAATATTCAACCTGAAAGTTTCTTCTTGTTCATTCGGCTTGGTTAAACTCAGATGTGAATTTGGTTTGAAGGGAATTTGGAATGATTTCAAAGACCACCTAACAGAAGTCATCAACTAAACTGGTACCTCCAGAATAGGTGCTGGGGCACAGTCCCAAACGTGTCATCAGATCTCAACATAGGGTCTTTTGGCTTCTGTCTTAATATGTCAGAGGCTTCATTTTCAGCAATCTTTGAAGCCTGGCTTGTCTATGTAAATATTTCTTTGAACAATGTTGGGGCAGAGTATTCAATAAACTTATTAATTAATTTTCTCTTGTTGTAGGTAACGGAATATCATTTTACTTCCAAGTTTTCATAGAAATCTGAGATTAAAAAAACTGTATTTAACCAGAATTATCCAGTTGTTACAATATTTATTTATATACATATACATGTATGCTAATCTGTGTTAATAATATACACTCAAATATATATATGTACATACACATTTACTTGTTATAGAAGTGTTCTATACTTGTATATAGAATGCACACCATGGGAAGGAATACGTGATGGGTCAGTAGTTGGGAGACTGGATGCAGCTCCTGGCGTCTCCCTTTGGTCTGACACAGATCTTGACTGTTTTGGACATGTGGGAATGAACTAATGGTTTGGAAATCTCTGACTATGATTATGTTTCTGCTATTCAAATATAAATAAACTAGATGTAGTTACAATAAATAATGAATTTATTTTAAAATTTTAGTTGCGAGTCAGGAACACACACACCCACACACACTGAGAGAGAGAGAGAGAGCCGCTATCTGCTGGTTTAGTCTTCAGATGCCGGCGATAGCTGGGCCAGGTCCAGATAGTAGGGCAAGAGACACAATCCAGGACTCCGCTGAGGACTCCGCTCCAGGAGCCCAGTTGCTGTCTCCCAGGGTCTGCACTGGTGGAACATAGGGAGCCAGAACAGACAGTGCAGCCCAGGCACTCTGATGTGTCACATGGACATTTTAGCCGAACGGCTAAATGCCCAATCTGATATAATAAATGGATTTTATTTAGTAAAAATTTTCCAGCCTAATCAGAACCTGGATCCAGATTAAATCTGGATTAATTTCAGTATGTAGATGCAATCACTTATCACCTTTACAAAGTATCTTGCTAAATTACATTTTATCGTTGTGACCTCATCTTTTATTGGAGAATACTAGAAGAAACCCTTCTGAAGCCTGATGCTATATGGACTTATTTCTACAGAAGTAATCTGTGGCATCCCTTAAGAACATCGAAAAGTCTGCTTTAGAGATAATTTATTAAAGCAACGTTAGAAACTGGTATATAGAAATTAAATACAATCAAAATAGTGTACCTGACTGATGGAATTATGATCTCTTATGAAGGACTACATCACTGTAGCAAAATGGGGACAATCTGTGTGGGCGGGAGTTTGGGGAGAATCCCAGTCTATATGAAATTGTACCACATAATTCAAACATTCAAAGTAAAAAAAATAGTGTACCTGACTTATGTTTATGTTTTCATTTGCAACTTAGAACCATCTATGTAGCTGTCTATGGCTTGATAATTCTTGTCATGAAAACACTTTTGAAATTATGTTTTCCAAATGTCCACATTGTAGTTTTAATTCAAAGTTTAATCCTAGTGGTTTTTAAAGGTGCATTTTACTAAATCTTTATGTGGATTTCATTTGAACTTTTGCTTGTTGCTATTATAGCAAGCTTACACAAACTGGTGTCTTAAAGATACACACACACACACACTCCTTTTCCAGCTTTGAGATGCCTGTGTGTCTGGGCTCTGGCCTCTTTCTTCATCCTCACAGCCCACAGGCAGCAGCTTTTTATCCCTTCCCAGCCCTGACCCTGCATCACTTGCCTTTCTTTTATGTGTGAGATTTGAAAGAACCACCTGCCCTGATCGTAAAAACAGTCTAGCTTCAACACACTTGTAAAAAATGTATGGCCTTATAGGGTTGCATTCACGGGGGTTGGAATGGGACATTATTGGGGAGCAGTTGCCAAATGACCATATCCTTGTGGATACTTAACTTCCTCTTCTAAAAGAAAACTGCACAAATAAGTAGGCCTCTTACATTTACAGCTTGGACATTTCAGATTTTAGTTAGATATTGCATTAAAGTTAAAATATTGTGCAATATTTTAATATTATTGTCGCGCTCCCTCTTGTTTGTCTTAGGCCTGAAAATTCCCTGTACGGGCCACCAGTTGTCGCCCACGAGCAGCGACACTACCTATGAGGCACACTCTTGAGGGTCTGGGAAAAGCTGGAACCGCAACTAGACCCCTTATTGCCAAATGCAGCTGCATTTATACCCTCTCTCCAGTGCCATTTTCTCCATCCACCTTAACATTTCCACCTAAAGATATTAGCTTTCCTACCCCTCTCTACTGCCCTGTTCTTCTCATCCCGTCCGTCACTCTCTCCCTGTTTTCCTCCTCCTTGTCCCCCATCCTTAGCTTTTAGCGGCTGCTTTTATACCATTCTTCACCAATCACTTCTCCCCGTGGGTCCACTTGGCGTTACCTGATAGGCCAGTAGCAACGACATAATTGCAGTGAGGGCATCAGCCTATCCCTGTGACTTCCTGTTTACCTGCTAGTGAGACCAACCCTGCCTCCTGGCCCTGGGCCAGCCACCATCCTGTGACAGCCTCTCCTATTCCTGGGAGCAGGTTCGGCACCCCACTCCCCACAATTATTATTTGAAATCTCATTATGAAAATGTCAGGTGCAATTAATAATATAACCTGTGTGTCTTATTGTTTAGAGTTGAATGTAGGCTTGTTTGTGTTAGGACTTGGTTTTATGTGCTACTCAAGAGACTTTTTGGTAAAGCCATAATTTTGTTTTTTTTTTTTTAACTAAACCACATTTTGAGTGTATGCATTTATTGAGAATATATTATAGCAGAGGACGAATGTCATCAGAGCTTCACCAGTGTCTACTTGTAAGAGGAGGTTGTAAGATAATGAACACTCCTGGATTGAGCAGTCTCCTCAGTGGGCTTGCTAGTGACTGGCTTCCTGGCACGATGTAGCAGGGCCAAGGAATGGGGTATGCATTAGCCCTTTGCCCTTTTTATAGAGAGCACTCAGGAAATGCCATTGTTAGATTTAGGAACCATGCTTTGACTTAAGCATTGAAATTGTTGGTAAAGGGAACATTTATAAAATTAATGCAATAAATTTACCATTATTTATTGGCATGTACAGAAAGCCTACTTATCTTTTATTACCAATAAAGATATTTTATGAACTCTGTTCATTGTCTGAAATGAATATCAATTTCAATCAATGTTACCTTTTCCCATTGAATTATTAATATTATTATTTTATGATGCAGTTCTGTACGCTGTAGGATTTCCCTGGCCCTCCTCTCCAAGTCTCCTCCTCTGCCCGCTAATTTCTCCTATATTTTTACTGAAGTATAGTTCTTCATACACAATCATAAGTCCATCATTGCGGGCATGGACAATGGCAGACAGTCCCGCATCCTATTGTCAAGATATAGTAAACAGTTTCATTGTAAGTCCCTCTTTGTCTCAAGTAGAGATTGCTGCATTGTATCCTCACAGCTGGATATGATAGTCTCCATTAAACAGTTAGTATACATTCCCTTAAATATAAAGCCATAATACAAAATCAACAACAGTAAATAAATAAAAATTTACAGTGCTATGAAGTTAAATAACATGCTACTAGAAATGATAGTCTCCATTACACAGTTACTGTATATCCACTTAAATGAAAATCCAGAAAACAAAATCAACAACAGAAAGACAAAAAGAAATTAAAGATGCCATAAAGTTAAATAACATCTATTGAATTACCAATGTGTCATGGAAGAAATGAAAATCCAGAAGCTTCTTGAAGAAAATGATGCTACAATATGACCTATGAGTCAGGGAAGAATTTAATATGAAAAAATAAAGTTTTAAATAAATGAAAATTAAAACAAACATCAAAATCCATGAGATGGAGTTTTTGCTGATCTTTGTTGGTGAGATGAGTCTCCTGTAGGCAACAAATATATTGGCTTTGTTTTTTTAATTCAGTCTACTAATGTGTGACATATGATTGATGGGTTTAAGCCATTTATATTCAGGGTTAATGTGAGTAGGTGAAAATTTGGTGTTGCCATTTTAGCAATGGGTTGTTTATTGTTTGATTTAGTCTTCTGTTGTTATTTTACTGGAATGTTCTTCACATTTAACTTTGGATTTGGTGGGTGCTATTAATTTTCTCTGTGAAGAGAACATCTTTAAGTATCATGTGTAGAGCATATCTAGAAAAGGTATATTCTTTTTTAAAGATCTGTTTATTTTTATTGGAAAGTCAGATATACAGAGGAGAGAGACAGTGAGGAAGATCTTCTGTCTGGCCGATTCACTCCCCAAGTAACTGCGATGGCCAAAGCTGAGCTGATGCGAAACCAGGAGCCAGGAGCTTCTTCCACATTTCCCACGTGGACAGGGTCCCAAGCCCTTGGGCTGTCCTCAACACCCCTTCCAGGCCACAAGCAGAGAGCTGGATGAAAAGTGGGGCCACTGGGATAAAGAACCAGTACCTGTACAGGATTTCAGCATGTGCAAGGCAAAGACTTTAACCAATTGGCTACTACGCCAGGCCCAAACAGGTGTATTCTTTGAGGGTTTTCTTTTTGTTGTTGTTGTTTATTTTTACTGTGGAAAAATGTTATTTTATTTTTAAAGAAGAACAAAAGCTTTCCTGAGTATGTTATTCTGGCCTGACAATTTTTTCACTTTAGAGTATGGAATATGTTGCCCCATTTTCTTCTGGCCTATAGAGTTTTCTGTGAGAGGTCAACTGTGATTCTGATTGCCATTCCTGGGCATGGCAATTGATCTTTTCATGGGCACATATAAGAATCTTTCCTTTATGTTTGATTGAATAGAGCTTGATTATCATGTGTCATGGTGAAGATCGCTTTTGGTGAAACCTGATGGGACCTCATGTATTCTGTTTCCCAATTCTTTCTCCAGATTAGGAAAGTTTTTCTTTATTATTTCATTGAATACAGCTTTAAACCCAGTTTCTCTTTTTATGCCTCTGGAATTCCCGTAACTCTTACATTCGGCCTTTTAATAGTGTCTGTTAGTTCTTCAATACTTTTTTTTTTTTTTTTGGTTTGACCCAGCTTAGCTTTCAGATTTTTGGTTCTTTCCCTCAAGTGACAGGAAATATCTTCCAATTCTGTAATTTCTTTCTTCTGCCTCTTTCATTCTGTTATTGGAACATTCAGCTGAATTTTTAATTTGCTCTATTGTGTCCTTCATTCTCAGTAATTCGGCTTGATTTTGTTTCAGTGTTGGTATTTCCTGCGTGACATATTCCTTAAATTCCTTGAACTCCTCTATGTGCTTCCTATTACTGATAAAAAAAGTTTTTTAAATAAGTTTTCTGAATTTTGTATCCCCCATTTTCTCAATGTCTTCCTCAGTTAACTCTGAGGTTGGCAAAGGCTTTTGTTCCTTTGCAGGAGAATCTTCAGTAAAATTCATTGTGCCTCTGTCTCTTCTTCTGATCTGGGTCATTGCTATTCTGATTAATAGATTCTTCTCCTTAAGGCAGATTTTAAGTTGTGTCACTCACAGGTATACAGGTCAATTTTACTTATTTCAGTTGGTACCTAGTTCTTTGTTTACAGTCACTTGTGCATCTCCCTCCAGCGAGTATCAGCTCTTGTGTTAGACTTCCACCATGTTCTCTGTAGCTCCAGCTCCTGGATCACCACTCTCCACCTCATGTAATCCCATGCTGTGGCTGCACCCTTGTCTGTACAAACTATCTCTCACTTCCTTTTTTGTGTGATTCCCATGATTAGGGAGACACTAGGTGTCCTAAATAACTAGGTGGTGCTGTTCTTGCCAGAGCCTACTGGCTTATAGGTCTGAGGGTCACCTGGACCTATTTTGACCCATAGGATGCCAAAGTCGATATTATTTTCCCTGTGGAACCAGTGCAATGTACTGAGCTGGAAGTGAGTTGGCTCCCAGCTCAGCACATGTACAGCTCACTGTTGCCCATCTAATATCACAGCCTTTGCCACTTTTCCAGCAGGATGGACAGTTCTTTGCCTGGGTTCACCTGCTGAGCTCCCTTTGACTCCCCTTGCCACCTGGCTGTTGGTGGAGCTCCAGCCACTGGCGGAGTTCAGATCTGTTCACTGACTTCCCTTGGGCATCTGGTCACTGCAACACCACACCATTGTGTCCGCTGCTTTCACATGTCTGTTTTCACCAAGTGCTCTTCTGCCTTTGGACTGTCCTCTTCTACCTGCTGCAGAGTGCCCTCTGCTTCACTCTGGCTAATGGTTCGAATCTGTCCTTACCCTATTTTGCCATCTTGATTTTCCTGAAGTAATTTCAAATCAGTTTTTCTGATATTTCCTATTAATTAGTTTGTTTTCATTTTATATCATTATGGTTGGTATGTTATATTGCTGAATTTCAAATATTACAATAAAAATAAACTTGGAGTTGATACACACTGCAATTTTCAAGCATTTGTACTTGCTTTTTTATTTGTTTTTGTTTATCATTTAAGTGGTTGGATGGTAAAGAAATAGAACGTTCAGAACGAATTCAGGCACTGCAGAACTATTCAATGATTGAACAGCAAATCAGAGAACAGGAAAAAGCTTACTGCCTCAGACGAGCCAAAGAAAAAGAAGAGGCTGAGAATAAAGTTCGCAGCGAGTATGGAAATGTGGACAAGAGGAGTAATCCAGGCTTTGATGGACGGTGGGACCCTGACATCAGTTCTTCTCCGTACGTAATATATTAGAGCTTACTGTCCAGTTAAAACAGAAAACTTAGTTCCCTTCCAGAGGTCTTCAGCATATTATGTATTTTCCATAAGATTAATTTGAAAAATAAAATATGATATCAATTGGGAGGGGATCCAGAACAAATGCATCCCGTTGTTTGTAACAATTTTCTTTCCTGAGAAAAAAGTGCTTCTTCCCACTAGCACCTCTAATTTGCATCTAAAATGATCCTTAGAGAACTCTCCAGAAAAGATGCACAGGAAAGATGAATTTGGAAGTGTGCTTTGATTTATAAAGTGGGAGTATTTTAGAAAAGCTACATACAGATCACATGGTCATACATTTAATCATTCTAACTGTGTCATGAAAACATTCTGTTTTGTCAATTGTATGATAAATATGCTTTTAATGTGAATATTAACCCTTTTGTTTATAAGTACTCAGTTTTCATTGCTTCTTTAAATGTATTGCAAATATAGTGAGCTAACTTGATTCTGTATTGTGAAAGCTTTAAAATTTAGATAACATAATCTCATAAAATTGAAAACAGTGTTTCTACAATATCTCAGACACACATATATGTTGAAATAGGCAGCTACAGTTCTACAAGCTACGTTGCGAAAATTCTTTGTGTAACTACTTTAGCTATTTAATTTTTTTTGAAGTTTTTTGAGAGGTAGAGAGTCAGAGAAACCGAGAGAGGGAAAGAGAGAGTTGCACATATGTAGAGAGAGCTCCATCTATGTGGTCAGTCCCTGAATGCCTGTGACAGCTGCAGCTGAGCTGGAGCCAATGCCAGGAGCCAGAAATTCCATCTGCACTGCCCTAGCGTGTGGCTGGAGCTCAGATGCTCCTGGTGTCACCCTGCTCTCTGGAGTCCGCACTGCTAGGAAAGTGGGGTGAAGAAGCAGAGTTGGTCCTTCAGGTGTTTCAGTGTGGGACACAGAAGTTTGAACCACTAGGCTAAACATCCATTTCAGAATGTTAGAATCTGCTAATCAAATAGTCCTGAAACGTTCCCAGTGGAATCTGGATCAAAAATGTATGTAATGTATATGTTGGCAGGGAAAAGTTGACATCTGCATCACTTTCTTTGCTGGACTTTGTAATAGCTCTATTTACTTCTGAGCCCTTGGTCAAAGTTTGTACATTTTCTTATAAATCCTGTGCCATTCTTTATTAGATTTATTCTTAATATATTTTAGTTTATGAAAACATAGCCATGTCATTGTCTCGCTGCTGTTTGTCTCTTGCTAATGATTTCTGTGTACTGTTTCTATATGAAGCAATCTTAATGACCTCTTGAAAAAAATGCAATATTGCAAACATTGTCTTGTGTTTTCCATGTTGGAAAACACATTATTTGCAAGCAACAACCTTGCAGAATTTTCCAGGCCTGTATTTTCTCATGGTGCCTACAAAAGCCTTCAGTATGAGGAAAAATGGCAGCAGTTGGAGTGGGCTTCTGTATGGTGATCCTGTCTTGTAAAACAACATTTCCAGTTCTTTATCATTAAGTATCGTGTCTGCCATGGATCTTAGTAATGTTAAGTCAGTTTCTTTCTGTTCTTTTGATGTGGGTTTATGCTAGATATTTATTAAATGCTTTCCTTGCTTCTATTGAGGTAGTCATGATTCAGTATTAATATGTAAAATCAAAGTGTTAGGATTTCTAATATTAAACCAACCTTTAATTTACATAATAAAGTCACTTTGTCCATAGTTTATTTATTAATACCTCATTGCATTTACTTTATGAATATTTTATTTATAATATTCCAAGTTATGTTCTTAAGTGAGTTCATGCTATAATATCCTTTTCTCATTGTGCTTTCACTATTTTTAAGGATTTATTTAAAACAAGGTTATATATGGGAGGGAGGAGAGGGAAAGGGAAGGAGGAAGACATAGAGAGAGACGAAGATTGTCAGTCTGTTGGTCCACTCCCTAAATGAGTGCATGAGCAAAAAGGGGCTGGTCCAAGGAGCCAGGCACTTCCTCCTTGTCTCCCAGGTGGATGCAGGGTCCCAAGCACTTGGAGCATCATTCACTGAATTCCCAGGCATGTTGGCAGGGAGCTGGGTGGGACGTAGAGCACACAATGGTCAACACTAATGCTACAAGCAGCAGCTTTGCCTTCTGTGCCACAGCCCAGGCCCCCACTTTTCAAACTTATTGCACCAGGGTTCTGATCATCACATAGTCTATATTGGAGATCATTTACATTTCCTGTTTATAGGCGTTTACAAAAGTTTAAAATAAACTGTTTCATATATTATCTTTTTAAAAGATTTAGTTATTTTTATTACAAAGTCAGATAATGACATGGAGAAATTAATGGGGGCAGGAGTTTGGAGAGGAGAGAAGGGAAATTCCAGAGCCCATTGAACTGTATTACACAATAAATAATTTAAAAATAAAGGGATGCATTTAAGGAGCAGAATTAATGATGAAACTTGCACATAAATGATTGGTTTTACATTCTCTGTGTCTCTTTTCCTAGGCCATCTTCTCTGGAGAGCAAAGACCACGTCCTATCACCAGAGTCACAGGAAGAGGCGTGCAACAAAAAGAAATCATATGATAATGAAGAGGATTTAGAATTTTGGAGCAAACCATGCTTGTTTACTCCTGAGTCTAGATTGGAAACTCTTAGACATATGGAAAAACAACGGGAAGATCGAGAAAAATTAAGGTATTCCATTTTTTTCCTATCATTGAGCAAGGATGAGGGAATACTCACACTCTGTTATGAACCATATTTTCATGATTTCTCATTATTTCATCCATTATTCATGTTAAACTCTTGTTAGTCATTGCATGACTTTTTTTTTTCTAAGTAGAGATTTTTGTTGGATAAATTGGCTAACATTTCATTAATATCAAGGTACCCTCTTTAGATCATAGTGCCTTCTTTAGACCATCATAAATTATGACACTTTAGGTAGGGATTCCTTTCTTTGTATTCCTTTAGCTTTTTAATCGTTTCAGTTATATCTAAGATAGGTTGATCTAAGCTGGAAATATACACTATCATGGTACAAAGAAAAAAATTTCATTTTATGGTTTGAATGAATGAGCTCCTTTGCAATTTCTATTAATTCGCAAAATTAAGAAATAAAAGTCAGTTTTACTAGGCATTGTATCTTGCCAATGCAACTTTCTTGGCCACCTAGAAATATGCTTGTGTTTCTGAACTGTTTCAATAAAATTCGATGATTTTTTTAGGAGCTAGAGTGCTGAAGTTATTTTCAGAGTAGCTTTTTCAAAGATAGTTCAGTGCATTCTATTGCATGTCAGTACTTATGTCTAGGATTTATCACTTCAGGAAGAATTATAAACCACTAATTGAGAACATGATCACTTAACTCTGAAATTAGACCGTTTATACAACAATGACATGAATGAAACACAGTCATACGTGGTTCTGAACTAAAAGCAAGAAATCTTAAGAGTGGAAAGGCTATTAGAGATCTTTGCTTTTGTAAAATTGCCAACATCAATGAGCATGATACGAGAGACAATAATTAAGAATCAAATGATACCTTAAAGGTTTGTGTGTGAGGAGGAATCAAGATGGCAGAATAGGGTAAGGACACATTTAAACGGACAGAGAAACATTTAATCAGGGTGAAGCAGAGAGGACACATTCCAGGAAATAGGAAAGGACAGAACAACAGCAGAGGGACACCTGGAGACTGACAGACACAGGAAAGCAGCGGACACAATGGTGTGGTGTTGCAGTGACTGATACTCCAGTGGCATTCAGCTAACAGCAATCTAAACTCCACCAGAAACCAGGTGGGAAGGGATTTCACTGGGAACTTGGGAGGTGAACCCGAAGAACTGTCCTTCCTGCTGGCCCCGTTTGATTTGACCAGAAGCAGAGACAGAGCGGCAGATCCCTGATGGGCAGTGCGAGAACAGGGTGGATTTCACAGCCCAGTTAGCCCCCAAGTGCCAAATTGGGCACCATTTTGCTTAAAGAGGCAAAGGCAAGGGAAAGGACTGAGAATACGCTGAGCTGGGAGTGAACTAATTTCTGACTCAGTGAACTGCATCAACGAGGCATTCTGCAGGTTCCACCCAAGACATGGCTGTGTAGCCAGCAGATCTGACGGCCAGCAGCTCAAGAACTCACTCTAGTATTAGTGACCTATCAGGTGCCATTTTGTAGAGTGTAACAAAAGTTTTAGGACTACAGGGGACAACAGTGAACTGCGCATGTACTGAGCTTGCAGGAACTCAATGAGTTCCATGGATTGCACTGGTCCCACAGGAAAGTAATACCAACTGTGGCATCGTATCTGACAAAATAGATCCGTGTGACACCCAGAACTAACGTCCAACAGGTTATGACAAGATCAGCACCACCAACAACCTATTTATATAGGACACCTGGTATCTCCCTAATGCTGGGATCTGCTCCAACTGGAAGTAGGAGAAAGTTGCAGAGACAACAATCCAATCTCAGCATGATATCACAGGAGGTGGAGAGTGGTGAGCCAGGAGCTGAGGCTATGGAGACCATTGTAGAAATATACACAAGAACCCAGACCTGGAACTTGGTGGAAGGAGTGGCACAATTGACTGCAAGCAAAGAGTTGTGTACCAACAGCAATAACTAAAATCGCATTGTAGACTTTTGTATGACAGAACTTAGAAACCTGCCCCAAGGAGAAGAATCTGATAACTAGAAGTACAATGACCAAGAGCAAACGAAGACACAAAGGCAAAACGAATATTACTGAAAACTCCCCTTCAAAGGAGCAAAACCTAATGCCAACCTCAGAGTTAACTGAGGAAGACATCGAGAAAATGGGGGACACAGAATTCAGAAAACTCATTATAAAGCTTCTTATGAACAATGAGAAGCACATACAAGAGTTCAAAGAATTTAAAGAATATGTTACACAAGCAATAGCAACGATAAAGCAAATCAAGGCTGCTATATCAGAAATTAAGGACACAGTAGAGCAAATTAAATGTACAATGGAGTCTCCAAAATAGAATGAAGAAAGCAGAAGAAAAAATCTCAGAATTGGCAGATATCTCCTGTCACCAGGGGGAAGCAAACAAAAGCTGGAAGCAGAGCTGGATGAGGCAAAAAAAAGAGTATTCAAGAATTGAAAGACACTATTAAGAGGCCAAATGTAAGAGTTATGGGAGTCCCAGAAGGTGCAGAAAGAGAAGCTGGGTTTGCAAATGTATTTAATGAAATAATCAAGGAAAATTTCCCTAATTTAGAGGAAGAATTAGGAAACAAGATCCAAGAGGGGCACAGAACTCCCAACAGGCTTGATCAAAAGTGATCTTCACCAAGACACATGATCATCAAGCTCCCTTCAATCGAACATAAGGAAAAGATCCTTAAATGTGCACCTGAAAAAAAGCAGTTGACATATAAAGGAATGCCAGTTAAACTCACAGGAGATCTCTCACAGGAAACTCTACAGGCAAGAAGAGAATGGAGTGACATATTCTAGATTCTAAAAGAAAAAAATTGTCGGCCTAGGATAAGATATCCAGCAAAGCTTTCTTTTGTCTTTGAAAATGAAATAAAATTTTTCCACAGTAAAGAAAAGTTCAGGGAATTTGCCTCTTCCAAACCTGCCCTACAAATGATACTTCAAGATGTTCTTTTGACAGAGAAGAGAAATTGCACCCAGCAAAACCCATTCCTAAAATGACAGGACCAAATTACCACCCATGTATATTTAACTCGGAATGCAAATGGCTTAAGCACAATCAAATGTCATAGAATCGTAGACTGCATTAAAAAATAAAACTCATCTATTTGTTGTCTAGAAGAGGCACATTTCACCAACAAAAGTCAGCAGAAACTATATCTCATGGATTTTGATGTTTTTGTTAGTTTCATTTCTTTAAAACACTTTCTTCTGATTAAATTATTCAGTGACTCATAGATCAAACAATAGCATCTTTTTCTTCAAGAAGGTTCTTCATTTTCATTTCTTCAGCTACATGTTAGTCATTTCTAGGATGTTATTTAACTTCTTGGTGTTGTTAATTTCTTTTTTCTTCCAGTTGTTGATTTTGCTTTGTGGCTTTTCATTGAAGGGGCTGTATAGTAGCTGTGGAATAGAGACTGTCTTACCTAGTAACATGTTATTTAACTTCATGGCATTGTAAATTTCTATTTTTCTTTCTATTGTTGATTTTATATTATAACTTTTCATTTAAGGGGATGTACAGTAGCTGTGAAATGGAGACTAACATATCCAGATGTGCGGATACAATATAGTATGCATCTCCACTTCCAGACAAAGATGGACTTACAATGAAACTGTTTACTATATCTTGACAATAAGATGGTAAATTCTGCTTGCAATTATGAACATACGACTGTGTATGAAGAACTATACTACAGTAATGATATAGGGGAACTAGATGGGCAGTGGGGAAGGGATAAGGGAAATGCCAGGAGCCTATGGATCTGTATCATAAAATGATAATAATAATAATAAATTTAAAAGGTTTGTGTGTGAAATGTGATGATTCGTGTCCTGAGCCATGCAGTGCTGTGCAAAGAGCACTTTGGTAACTTCCAAAGCTGTGTTTGTATCTTGACTCTATCATTTCCTCTCTTCTGTTGGTGAGTACCTAACTCTTCCTCATCTGTTGAACAGAGACCATCAGACCTATCTTTTCTACCAAAGGTTACCGTTAAGATAACCAGATAAACTGAGAAATGCATTGCCTCACACTTTGAAATTCGACACCTGTAGTCTACATACTGTATTGTTTGACAAATGTAAATAGACCCACACATCCATATATGCACAGGTAACTGTGGATGTGTACATGTGCATGGGTACTCTATTTTGTACTAAGTATGAAATTAGGAGAAACATCATTTTCCCTGATGCTTGAAAAAATAAGGAGGAGTTGGATGTAGGTGTCAGCTGTTACCTGTGTAATCCAGTTTGTCCCTGAGCTAGTTGTCTCTTTGATTGTGCAGTCATTTGCATCATCTGGGACAAGAGAGGAACAAGAACAGCCCTCATCGTATTGGTGTTCTTGTCTGCACTGCTTCCAGGGAGGTCAGGCACTTCTGAATGCCCTTGAATTGTCCCAGGTCATAGAAGTACTAACTTAATTGGAGCTAGCGTGGTGGCGTAGCATGCCAATACTAAGCACTTTTGCTGGCATCTGGCATGAGCACTGATTCACATCCCTGCTACTTCTCTTCAGTCCCGCTCCCTGCTTAGTGACCTGGAGAAGCAGTGAGAATCACCGAAGGCTTTGGGCTCCTGCACGCGTGTGGGAGACCTGGAAAGAGCTCCTGGCTTTTAGCTTCAAACTGACCCAGCTCTGTCCTTTGAAGCCATTTAGGCAGTAACTAGTGCATTAAAGATTCTTCACTCCATTTCTCCCCCGCCCCTGCTCTGTAACTCTTTCAAGTAAAATAAATAAACCTTTTTTTAAAAAAAAAAAAGAGGAAATATTATTTTAAACAAGATAGAGAAAAATTAAAATAAAATAGAAAAGGAAATCCTAACCTAATTGGATCTTGAGGCCCACTTGAATATGTAGGATAATATGATTGCTTTTTAGAAACAAAGTTAACTGATGCCAAAATCTGCATTACGAGGGTAAGAGAAACTCAAAGCAAAGAACTGCCTGCACCCCCACCATCTACATAGATCAGTGTATCTAGTCCTCCAGTTCTTGTCCATACTGGTCCATGTTTCAGTTTCATTCAGTATGTTCAATACTGTTTTAAATGGAACACACCATTTCTTGAATCTCTCCCTCCAAGCTCCCTTTCTGTATGTCCTATCCTAACGTTAGCGATGAGAGTCAACACGCTTGTGTCGGTTCCGCCATGTCTTCCCCCACTCTGCAACAGTGCCAGTCACCTTGACAAATACGGGACTTGGAGTCTTTTTTTTTAAACTAAATGGACTTATACATTTTCTTACTAATTGCACCATCAGCTAATCCATTAGTAAAATGCAAACACATCCTTTCACAGCGTGACTATTTCACGGTTGATCCAGTCAGTCTTGTACTATGGACGCTCGTAGTAGTTCCAGGGTTTTGCAGTTACAAAGAATGCTATGAGGACTAGCCTTGAATAGAAATCCTTATGAACTAGTATTTCTGTTCTGTAGAATTTATTCCATTTCTATTTAAAAAATTGTAATTTTAACTAAAGCAGAAGCTCTATATACAAATGGAGAAATGACAGTTATCTGGTAAATCATGCATAAAATAGATTCATTTAAATATTCATGGATATTTCATGAAAAGGAGCTTTCCTCTCCCATTTAAATTATCTGGCAAATTGTCTTGGTCACATTTTTACTTTGCAGACATAGATACAACAGTGAATTGTAGATGTATTTATCTATGTCTGGTTTCTTTTATCTTCAACTGTTTTAAAAATATTAACAGCTTTTATTTTTCTCTTTGCCTTTGCTGTCATCCTCCCATCATTTCCCCTGATGCCCTCTGCACCTGCCACAAATCTTCAGTGCAAAGAAGAAAGTGAAACCACCCAGGGTGTTGATCACTGAGGATGGGAAGGTCTTGAACGTGAATGAGCCCAAGTACGTAAGCCAGGGATAAAATCGGAACCCACGTTAGCAGTGGTGGCTATTGAAATAGTTTTGGTTGCAGGTCTGCTCTGCAAAGATTACATTTGGCCACTTTGAGCAAGTTTTCTGAGTCTAATAATAATGTCATGTCTACATGTTTAAAAGCAAAACATCTATCGTCTTTCCCAGATTGTAATTTCCTTGGCAGTCAGAGAACAGGCTTTGCAAATGGAAATCTTAATCCCCTGTGTATCCCATACAACTTTATACCATATACAATTCTATGCCTGAAAATCACTGCTACATTATTGTTACATTTATAATTATTTCCAACTGTGCCATGCAAATGTGGCTGAGAACACTGCGATGGCTCCTGTGTATCTGGGTTATACTCTACAACACATCTACAAAGCCTTTGCCGTCTAGGAAAGGAATTGTTATGACTACACCAGTGAAATTAATGAAAGGAAAAATATTGAAATTGGAAATCCTCAAATCTTATAGTGCCTGATCTGCTCTCTCTGTCTTAAAATTTAAAACCAGAGAGCATGCCACAGCAAAAAGACTATGGAGAGACTATGGACCAAGTCTCTTCACTTTGCAGTTCTCTGTTCCATTACTATGATAAAGGGATTGTCTTGAAATTCTTCCGTTGTATCATTTATCTTCTCAGCTGTCACAGACAGTAGATAACATATCTGTTTTAGAAGTTCTGACCTCAAGCCTGGGAGAAGTGAAGTGACCTGTCTGAGTTCCTATAACTAGCAGGTGCTATATAGATAGTAAGAGCTATCTTGTTCGCTTTCACTTAGTTCTTGTGATGTCCCATCAGTTTTATAAATTCCCCTCCCCTCACATACTTGGTTTATGCAGCAGTCAGGAAAGCAACACAAGACCCTAGTTAAGGCAATGGGAATGTAACACTGAGTAGGATAGATTTCTGCTTTCATGGAGCTTGAAAATCTAGTGTTAAAATGTCTGTTCAGGCTAACACGCTCCCCTCCGGTGGTGGAAACCAGAGCCCTTGTTTTGAATTCATTCCTATTCTCTCATCAGCCAACATGATGAACTCATCCTTATTACCAGGATCCACCTGCTTCCCATCAGCTCCATTCCCATCACCTTTAGGTCAACCAACTTAACCTCTCTCCTGACAACTACAGCAACTTGCCAAGTGGGCTCCATGGTTCATCTGTAGGCCTCTTGTGCTGTTCTTCTCAACTGAATTAAGAGGAAGAGGAGAAAGGACATACATTCTTTCTTAGGGACAATTCCTGGAATATGCCATAGGAGACTTCCCCTCCCCGTGCTAAATCACACAACTGCTTCAAGAAAGCTGGAAGATGCTCTCTTTATGCTACATGGCCATGTGCCTACTTAACACCTCAAGATGTATCACAGGATTGGGTTGTTCAAAACAGCAGGAGAGTGATATTGCAACTGGACCTACTACTGACCACCAAGTCTATAGCCAACTTTGCATTTTCCAAATAACTTAGCTCGCATTTTTTACACTGTTTGAGATATATGTTTACATGAATGTGCACACATAGACACACACACTCATGTAGTAGACTAACATAATGAATGTAATGCTTAAAAGAAAATTGACCAGGTTAAATTCTGAAGAGCATGTTGGCAGTGTGGAAGTTATCCCTAGGATCTAGCCTCGGTACATTTGGATGAAAGCCACCTGTCCAAGCATACATTTTTTTTTTTTATCTCAAGCTGTGCCAACCTTTCTGAACCTCTGATTATTCATCCATACAGTGGAGATATTACTTCATTGGCATGTCTTGGGCCTTTCCTTCCAGCACAGTGGAAAGATCCACCATGAAAAAGGAACAAAGATAATTTGGAAAAAGAAGAAAGATAGGACTGCTTAATACTTAAATAGTATAGTTATCGAGAAGATGAAACGAATGAATCATTTAGTTCTCAATAAACAATTCCAATTTGCTCCTAAAACACTCAAATAAAATGGAAAAGTTTAGCCACCAGATGTCTCTATCCCTGCACCAAAGCTGAGTCTTTGTACATCATTTGTCTTAAGAGTAGTACATTTAAACAATGTAAACCTCAATCATTTATCGATGTGGTGCAGATTTCTGTTCCAATTTTAAAATTAACATAATTATCTCATTATCTACCTATCAAAATAAACTTGTCACTGAGGGTTATTATTATTGCTACTAATGATTTTAATTTGGGTTATGTGACTGCGTAACCCACACAGTCTCTTTTCCTCCTCTACATGTATCATCGTTCCTAGACTGGATTTCTCTTTGAAAGATGATGAAAAACACCACACGATCATCCTGGATCTTGCTGTCTACAGGTAGAGACATTTCATTTATTCAGTTAACTGTATTCAGTTAATGGTCTGTCTGTGCACCTTCATCCTCAGCAGCCAACTTTAAATTCTGAAACATTTGGAAGGGGATTTTTATTGAAGGCATCATTAAGTTTACTTTTAAGACAGAGACTTTTAATTTTTTCAGATCATGACAATGAAGAGAAAAATAAATAGGCCCACAATTCCATGATTATGAACTCTGAAATTTCTAAGGCAGCTTGACTAATCCTCAGAGGCAGCCATTCTCTGATGCTGGCAGTGCATAATCCCCCTCTCCTCTCAATGCTGACACTTGCCTTTGATTGTCCTCATTGTATTTCCCAAAAGGCTCTGATGGAAGAATAGCTCAGGTGGCCAGCACCTGCCCCCTTGTCCTATCCTAGAGGCCTGGGGCACACCAGTGGCACCTGCTCACCAGCAGGACTTCTCTGCCTCCCTATTGGAATGTGATCCACTTCTCTCCAATCTCCATGCCACTGGGAGGAGAGGCCAGTGGGGTCTGATTACTCACACCCCCAGCCTCCAGCCCCTTCTCCCCCTCCTTGTGGAAGTATCTACAGACTCTCAGTTCACTCTGCCGGCTGCTGGTCTTGGGGGCCACTCACACATGCTGCCCTGTCTACCTGTGTTACTGTCACCATCGATGTCTCTCTGGTTCTAGGCCTCTGTTCCTAAGGGACTTCACGGAGAGGCCTCTGTTCCAGAAGCATGCCTTCTGCCAAGGCAAATACCTACTGCTGTTCCTACAGTGTGTGGTCCCGGCAAGAGCATCCTTGTTTGTCTTACCTCCCTGTATCTCTAGCACCTGAAACAGTACCTGACAGTTAGGAGCTCAGTGACAACAGGAATGAATAAATGCTGATAAATGGAGCCAAGGAACACCAATATATAAGCATTGTAATAAATCTTTCTCTTTCCCTGGATTGCACTTGTTCCATTTTGTGTCATCTCCCAATAATGCTGCAAAGTAGGTAGGATTGTGATCCTGGGATTACCCTTGAGGGAGAACATTCAGAAGGCAATTCTTATCAGAGGAAAGAGAAATTGGAGGAGTTACAGAGTAAGTCCTCTGCCTTCATCAAACTTGGTTTAAGTGAAGAGTTAGAATGACAGAATCTTCCATCTGGTGCTTCACTTCCAAAATAACCGTGATGACCAGGGCTGGATTAGGTCACAGCTAGGAGTCTGGAACTCCATCTAGGTCTCCCACATGGGTGGCAGTGCGCTATGCATGTCTTGGGCCATCGTGCACCACTTTCCCATGTGCCTAAGAAGGGAGCTGGTTAGAAAGTAGAGCAGCTGGGACTTGAATTAGTACTCACATGGGCTGGCAGTGTTGCAGTGGTGGCTTAAGCTGCTGCACAGCAATGCCTGCCCTGCAAATCTGCTTTCTCAGTTGTAGTAAAATGCACATAACTTACAACTCGGAATTTCAGCTGTTCTGTAGTGTATAACACAGTGGTGTTTAATAAATGCACAATGTTGTGTACCACTACTACTGTCTGATTCTAGAGAATTTTCATCAGATGTAAAGGAAATTCCTTCCCCGTTACACAGTCACCACCCATTTTCCTCATCTCAGTACAAGCTAGATTAATCTCTGTGCCTGCATACAGTTGCTTGTTCTGGAAATTGCCTATGAGTGAATTCATGTGCTATGTGGCCTTTGTGTTCAATTCCTTGAGCTATCATATCTTTAGAACTTGTTTGTGTTCCATCACATTGTTAGAATTTCTTCCCTTTTTATGGGTGGATATTGCATTGTACATATGTACCATACACTTTTATCCACCTGTCACCTATTTTGACATTGGTGAATGGGGTTGGCTCTGTGTGCACTACTCTCATGTCAATTCTTTGCCCACTTGCTCCCTCATCATCTGCCTTCTAAGAAACTGAAGCTTTTTACCAGCCAGCTTCTTTTCCTAAAACTCCAATTTGCTATTTCTGTTGTTTTCCAGTTAAATACTCACTGTTTTGTCTTTATAAGTCCTTTCCATTTCCAGGCCGTATTTCTAGAGTTCAATGGATGTGTGATCCTTTCTCTTTCAGCACTGTGACTCTGACATGGACTGCTCATCCCAGGCTTGTGAGATTTAAGAACTGGTGATGTCTCCCCTGACTGCTTAGTAAAACCCATGATCGTGCCTCAGTGAATGGCAACAAAACACCTTTCTGGCTGTGGCTGCACCAGTTCACATACATAAAACTAGATTGATTAATTTCTGTGTTTTTCCCACCTCTTTCTAACAAATGCCTGTAGAATTCCATCATTTGTAAGACATGGGGAGATGATAGCTGGTGTATTTTAAATATAGTCTTTGCCTTGCAGCTTTGGCGCAGTGATGATAGTGGGTGGGTGGCAGGGGCAGACAGTAGTCACACATGTAATGATGGGAGTGACTAACGGAGTAGGATGCTGTACAAGGAGGAAATACTTATGCAGGGTTGGAGAAGGGTGTGTAGGAGGGAGGGGGAAGAGTTCAGGAAAGTTAGTAACCTCAGTAATGCAACGTAAAGGATGAGACATAGCTTGTTCTGTAAAGAATTGGCAGAAAATTATGTCATTAGAAGGAAGGACTTGCAGGTAAGGACAGATGAAGATGTTAGGGCCCAAGTATAATGCAAGTGATGTGTGTGAGTGGTAGATATTACAGATAAAGTTGTGGAAAATGGTGTCTCTCTTTTTGTTGTTACAACATTCCATTAGCAAACATAATGGTTTATTGGCATTCACTATATAATTACATACTACACACTATCCTTCAGGTTAACCTTAAGAAACGGGCAGTATCAATATTCTTGTTTTTGATGAGAAAAGAAAGGTTTTAAAAAGTTGAGACATGTAAGGCAGGGCAAGGTGCTAGAGCGAGAAGAGTTGGAGTCAGTTCCGCACAAGTCTGTGACTCCAGAACCCGTGCCTGGAGTCTGTGTTAGCTTACCCACCTTAACGTTTGTGCGTTTTGAAGCATCACCTCATTTTCTTTTCCTTTTATTACATGAGTATATTTCATATATTTCATGAACAGGTTTCGGAGAATATCACTTCATTTTCTAAGGTTCACGCTCGATATTTTTTAAAGATATATCGTGTAGATTCAGTTCCTTCACTGGGAGTCCATCTCTGGTCTGTATGCATAGAAACCTACAGCACTTTGGAAACTATCGTAAATATAAGATGATGGACTCCCTGACAGTGCCCAGGCCTACATTTTGGGGAAACAGTTCAACAACAACACGTGGACTTGTTATTATTCATGAAGGACATCCATTGTAAAATTAGAAGAGAAATCAGTGTGGGGGAGGGGGAGGGAGGGACCTTGGGGAAGGGCACAGGCAACCCCAGAACCTATGGAACTGTACCACAAGACAAACAGAATAAAATATGTTTAAAAAAGACATATAGTAATAACTATTTGATCAACCTTTTTTGTTTTAATGAGAGATGTGGCGTCTTTATCTTTCATTTGCTCTTGAGTCAAGGACAGAAGCTGTCACTTGATCTTGGGGTCACTGATGCAGACAGGAGGCTTTGCTTGTTCAGCAGGATGTGTTTGTAGGGGAGAAGCAAGTTGTTCTTCCAGGAGAGATGACATCAGCTCAGCTGCGGAATAGCTTCCCGGGAGCAGGAGCTGTGGTCTCAGGCCCCATGGGGAGTGGATTCAGCATTCCTGACTATCCAAGTCATTTATGAAAAAACACAGCAAGCTATTTTTTGAAAACCTTTGATGATTCAAACCTCGGATATTTTGGGGTTTGGGGAAATCGAGTTGCTGATATGTTGGATTTCCTTTAGTCTGGGGATTAATTTAAGACTACCTTTTTACGATCTGTTTAGCATGGAAATGGTTAGCTAACTGTTTCAGATGCTCCCCTGTGTGTGAATTTGTTTTTGCCTTTCTTTAAAATAAGTGGGGTTGAAGCTTACAAGATTTGGTGTATTTCATTTTGAAGATACATGGATACCTCTTTAATTGAAATTGATGTGCAGCCAACTTACGTGCGAGTGATGGTCAAAGGGAAGGTAAGTCTAGTGCCAAAAGTTATCAAAGTTTTCAAAGCTCAGACACGAACTAAGCTGTGCTGCCTAAACTTAAAAAAAGTTATTGACATTATGGACATAGAAAAAGAGAACCCAGTCAGAATCCTGATGTAGGCACATGACTTTGCACCATGAGAATGGCGTCGAGTGCAAGTGGCTGTTGGTCATATAGTTAGCTGGTTCATAAACGCTTTGTTGCTGTTTCATTTTACTGAGCTAATAATGGTGATGGTCATGCAAGGATACTTCAAAAGTTTACAGAGAAATGGAATTTAAAGATGCTTATTTTGATACAAAACATTTTGAAATTTTTTTTGTTAATATAAAATTGCATGAGGTCATTGGAGACCTCGTGTGCACATGCATTTAAGGCATGTTTTGTCCCAAAATGAACATATATTTTAATTTCATTGTCTGTCAGATTTAGGTAGCAACTCTTGTACAGTCTTACATATGGGATTAGATTATATATGTAGTCTAAATTATCAATGATTTCATTCATAGCAAGTATATTTTTACAGTTTTTGAAATAATACTTTTTGCTCATTTTGAGCATTCAAATGGGTGAGCTTGAAGTCTTTAATGGAAATTTGTTGGACCTGGCACAGTGGTATCCTAGTGGCTAAAGTCCTCACCTTGAATGTCCCAGGATCACACATGGGTGCCGGTTCTAATCCCGGCAGCCCCGCTTCCCATCCAGCTTCATGCTTGTGGCCCAGGAAAGCAGTCTAGGATTACCCAAAGCCTTGGGACCCTGCACCTGTGTGGGAGACTCCGAAGAGGCTCTGAGTTCAGATCAGCTCCGGCTGTTGTGGCAGAAAATCTTCCTCTCTGTCTCTCTTCTCTATATATCTTACTTTGCAATAAAAATAAATAAATATTTAAAAAGAAATTTGTTGATATTTTGTGAAAAGAAATGTTATTCATAAATTACTTTCCTGCCACAAAGAGTTCCATGAATGTTCTGCTATTTGTGATGAAAGACTGTTTAGCTTATTCATTAACAGATAACATAATAATGCATGTCAAGCATGGCTTGCATGTAGTTTTTTCCTAATAAGTCTGAGTATATTTCTTAATTGAATGCTGTGCTTAAATTGGTAATACTCTCCTCTGACATGTCCTCGGTCTTATGCTACTGCCTGCTCATTTTCAGCCATTTCAGCTTGTCCTTCCTGCAGAAGTCAAACCCGGTAGCAGTTCTGCAAAGAGATCTCAGACCACAGGGCATCTGGTTGTCTACATGCCCAAGGTAAGACGTGTCATTTGCATCAATTTATTGTCTGTGTATTTGATTCCTGATGGAACTTGACCTGTTGGAAATAATGACTTCTGGTCAAGATCGTTTCAGTTGAGAGAACTAGAAAATGTCCTCACTGAGATAGAAGAACCAAGACCTGAGACGTGCTGACGTTCAGGCTTGGCGGCGTCATTTTCCCATCACTTCATGAGCATTTCTTGTCTCTGCTGCCTCCTTCATCTCTGTGGGTCAGCCTGGGTGATAGCTGGGATGGAGAAGACGTGGTTCTCCCAAGTGAAGCAGGTGCCACTGAGCACGGCTGTTAGGTATTGTTACTCTCTTTGCCAGTAACTTTCAGAGGAGACGTAGCAAGCCAGACATCTCTACAAAGATTGTGTTTGATTTCCAAATTAGCACTTTCTGGGACTATATTTCCTAATATTTTTAAAAGAGAAACCATATACAGTATATAGCATAATTACCACATAATTAATTTTTTCTAGTATTTTCATGATATGGATCAGATATAATCTAAACTAAAATTCTTCTTTCTTCTTTTTATTGGGAGCATTCTATGTGTATTTCTGATATGATAAGGGATAGATTTTACTTCATTCGGTTCAGCAAGCATTTGTCCAGTGCCTACCTGGAGCAAATATAAACTGATCTGAAATGGCAGTCTAGGAGAGACAAGATTGTAACTCAGTCATGTTTTTACGGTCTAAGGAAACAATGATGGAGCCTTTAGTGGAAACCATAGAGTTCCAGCTCTTGTTAAGGAGCAAATGTGGGACTGATTTTTAAGGGTTAGTCAAGTGTGATACACAGCAAAGATGAACATATGGCAAGGGGGAAGCGAGTGTGACACAATCTATGAATGGAAATGGTTCTGTGTGGTTGTGGCATAAGACAAATGTGAAAGAGTGGAGGAAGCCAGAGGGCATAGAGGAGATAATTCATGGAAGAATTTGGACAGAAGATCACTCAGTGCCATCTGGTCTTGAGGAAGTACTGAGGAAGTGGGAGAGGCAGCTACTGGATAAGTCAGGGAGGAACATGGCAAATGTATGAACTATAATTGTATTTGATACATAGCTATTAAATGTTTTATTCATTTTTGTTTATTATTTCTATTTTTGAAATTTTTATTGAAAGACAGAGAAAGAGAGAGAAAGAAGGAAATGGATAAAGGGAGAATGGGGAGGAGAAAGAGAATACAAATGAATCTTTTCTTCTATCTGTTGCCCTCTCCCAAAATGCCTGTAGTGCCAGGCCTAGTCCAGGCTGAAGCCAGGAGCCAGAAATTCCATTCAGGGCTTCTTCTGCCTGACTGCAAGGGACTCAAGAACTTGAGCCATCCTATATCATCTCACAGCTGCACTAATAGGAATCTATATCTGAAGCAGATTCAGAATGCAGTTCTAAGCACTGTAATATGGGATGTGGAAATGCCAAGTGGCAGCTTGACTTGCTGCGCCATAATGCTTGCCCTTCATTCTTTAATATTTATAGAGTGTATATATAGAAGCCTACACTCTTCCTGGTCCTGAATGAACTGAGGACCTCTCCCCCTCAGGAGCCTAATAATCAGAGAAGGGAAGACTGACTGTGAACAATTAAACAGATGTGTTAATTTCAGATGGAGATGAGCACTATGAGAAAATAAGACTAATAATACGACTAGAAGGATGATATAAGGGCATGTGATGAATACTTAGTGATCAAAAAACAGCCCTGTGAAAAGATGGCATTTAAATTGAGACTTGCCTAAAGTCATGGTGCAGTTATACAAAGATGCTGGGTCAAAAGAGCATGCTATGCACAAGGTACTGATGTCAACAGGGAGGCCACAGTTCCCAGAACAACTGCAACGAAGTAGCCAACTCCAGAATGTATTGCCTGAGGAGGGAAGTGAAAGAAGAAAATTTCAGAAGCATAGGCAGATGTTCTCTTGTACAGTCTTCTGGACACAGCAAAGATGATGATGATGATGATGATAATGATGATGATGATGATTCCACATGCAATGGGAAGTCATTAGTGAATTTTAAGCAACAAACAAAATGGCCTGATTACTGTTTTTAAGAATGTTATTCTGCCTTCTCCATGGATTCTGAATTAAATGGTAGAAAGGATAGATGGAGGCCCAGTGCAATGGCTCAATTGGCTAAGCCTCCCACTTCAAGCTCCGGAATCCCAGATGAGTGCCGATTCATGTCCTGTATGCTCCACTTTGCATACAACTCCCTTGCTGTGGTCTAAGAAAGTAGAGGAGATGACCCAAAACCTTGGAACCCTGCACCTGTATGGGAGACCCAGAAGAAGCTCCTGGCTCCTGATTTGGATCGCTCAGTTCTGGTCATTGTGGTCACATGGGGAGCAAACCAGTGGACAGAAGATCTTTCTGTTTCTCCTTCTCTCTTAGATCTGCCTTCCCAATAAAATAAATAAAATCTTTAAAAAGGAAGCATTGATGGAGGGGCTGTACAGTGAAGACTTTATGAGGCTGTCTAGATGAGAGGTAATGGGCAAGATTGGCAAGGCAGTGATAAATAACTGAACCAAGAATGTTTTGTTCACCATCACCAACATATCAATTAGGAAGTAAATCATGGATTATTCTGATCTTTGGATTTAACTAGTGTTTAGATGCTGGTACCATTTGCTTGAAGGGGGAAAGACTTTTGGAGGAGCAGATTAGTAGAAACAAATCTTTGTTTCATTTGACCCTCTTAAGTTGTAGATTGAGCTAACCAGTTGACATCCCAGGTATGCCTTTGCACGTAGTAGTCTTGATCCCACTGGAGAGAATAAGCCAGTTGTAATGAACTTGGAAATGATGAACATACACATGAGAGTTCTAAACATAGGCCTGGAAAAGATCATACGAAGAGTGAGTTTGGATGGAAAAGAGAAGGTGGTCCAGGTTGGAGCAGTAGGCATTCCGTTGGTTTCTGGTTGAGCAGGGAAAGAATTAGATCAGGAAATTACACACCAACAACCAATGAGTTAGGAAGGAAACCAGTCTGTGTTATGGATGAAGGCTAGAGAGAATAAATACGATCATTGGAATGAACAAAATGCAGGCTATAATTGCTCTTCATGAATGTTAGTGAGGCAGTGAAAATGGACATCCATAGGAGGGGCTGGATGAGAGTGTAGTTCGCTACCAAGGATGACATAGTTAGAAAAACCTTAAAGAGGTTTTGAATGTTGAGAGTGAAAGTAAGGACTAGTAGTGTTGCCTCTGTTGACTTAATTTCAGACTTCTTGTCTTTGATGTCAGAACTGGGCATCTGAGAAGTTGTTTGGAAGATTCACAGGCTTCAGATAGATGGCAACCTTGAAATTTGAATAATTAGTTTGTCCATGTACAGTATCTGGATTTCCACTACAGGCTAAATGAAAGAGGATGCTTCCAGTTTAGGCTGCAAAAATTCAAAATACAACTGGTTGTAAAAGTAAAGAAATGTTTCATCTCTTGTAGCAAGAACAGAAGGTGGAGTGAGATGCAGACAGGTAGTCAGGGTCTTTCTGATATGTCAGCCTTGTCCTTGGACTGGCTTTCTTCCATGAGCTTCCGCTAGCTGCAATGCAGGCAGCATGCTTGCTTGTTCATGCCCTGCACCAGACAGTGAAACAAAATGTGAGCAGGCAGGATCTCTCCCGTCACCCTGGAATCAGAGTTCCTCTGATTGATTAGGTCCATCAAGCCTTGATTAGCTTCATCCTAAACAATTGATCCCATCTTGGCCACAGGTATAGCGATTGATTTCTCTTAATCAGATCCTTCCCCGTGAGCCCAGAGGTGGGGTCAGCCTTGCTGTCAGGAGGGAGGTCACTTGGACTTCAGAGGAGAATAGATGAACCAGTCAGAGAGGAGTTTGCTGGTGAGAAAGCAAAGGAGAATGAGGAAAGGAGTTTCTGCCACAAAGAATATAATCTACATTAACTGCTACAGTTTCTAGAACAACTTAATAATCATTTTCCTGTATGCAGTTTTCCAACAGATTGATTATAAGTAATCAATTGCATGTTTTTATTTGGGGGCAATAAAAGAGCAAATACAATTTGTTGTCAAGCAATAAAATAACACACATAACAATTAGGAATTGCATTCTATTCGGTGACTACAATAAATCAGAGGACTACTCCTGTGTTAGTTAGAATATCCCATAGGGAAATCTAAGAGATAGTTAATTACCTCACTAGTCAGAAATAGACTTTTGTATAACACTCTGATCAGCAGCCTTTTTTTGTTTTTGAAAATCCAGAGGCTAGGGCCCAGCACGGTAGCCTAGTGGCTTACATCCTCACCTTGAATGCCCCAGGATCCCACATGGGCACCAGTTGTGATTCTGGCAGCCCTGCTTCCCATCCAGCTCCCTGCTTGTGGCCTGGGAAAGCAGTGAAGTGTGGCCTAAAGCCTTGGAACCCTGCACCCATGTGGGAGATCTGGAAAAAAGCTCCTGGCTCCTGGCTTCGGATTGGCTCAACTCCAGCCATTGCGGTCACTTGGGGAGTGAATCATCAGACAGAAGATCATCCTCTGTGTCTCTCCTCTTCTCTGTATCTCTGTACTTTCAATAAAAATAAATAAATCTTTTTAAAAAGGGAAAGAAAACCTAGAAATTAAATAGTAACTGTGCTATTTCTTAAAGGGAGATCAAGACATGATTTCTGTGCTTCAACAGGTGCCAGATGGTAGGTGAGACAACCTCTGCTGACACCGCTCACCACAGTTTAAACACAGCGTTCTGTTTCCATTTACCCTTATTTCTTTGTATCTGTCTACATTTTTAATATAAAAACATAAAGGTACTATGAACTACTTATGAAGGAAAAAAACGTTTTACAAGTTCAAGGTGAAAGATGGTATAATTTGTGGGGAAGGACTAGGAAGAGTTCTACTCTCACACTGAGTAACAGTTTTCTATTGTGGTATACTGGCAAGTACTTTAAAAAGTTCATGGCAAAAGGAACTAACATGTTTATTCAGGTGCAAATATTTG